TTTCAGCATGTTTGAGTTCCTTGTAGATCCAAGATGTTAAGCCTTTGTCAGACCTGGAGTTGGCAAAAACTGTTTCATAATCTGTAGGCTGTTTCCCTGCTCTCTTGATGGTTTATTTGGCTTTGAGGAAGATTGTCAGTTTAATGAGGTCCAATTTGTCTATCTTCTCTCTTATGACCTGTGGGTTTGGGTTTTGTTCAGGAATTGGATGCCAGTTCCGATTTCCATGAAGGTATGTTCTTCATTTTCTAAGGTTCTTATGGTTTGAGGTTTTACATTTAGGTCTCTGATCCATTTGGAGTTCATTTTTGTGTATGGGGATAGATAGGGGTCTTGTTTCAATCTTCTGTAGGTGGTCAGCCAGTTTTCCCAGCATCATTTACAGAATAGGTGCTCCTCTCCCATGTGGTAGGTGATGGAGCTTTGTTGAAGATGAGTTGGTTGAGAAATTGAGGTTTTGCTTCTGGAATCTCGATTCTATTCCATTGACCTATATGCCTGTTCCTGTACCAATGCCAAGCTGTTTTGATGATTGTAGTTTTATAGTAAAGTTTGAAATCTGGTAATGTGCTACTTTGGGTTTTTTTTTTTTGCTGAGGATTGTTCTGGTTATTCTTGGTCATTTGTGTTTCCATATGAATTCCTGTGTTGTTTTTTCTAGGTCTGAGAAGAATGTTGCTGGTAATTTGATGGGTATTGCATTGAATCTGTAGATTGCCTTAGATAAGATGGACATCTTCACAATGTTGATTCTTCCAATCCATGAGCATGGGATATTTTTCCACTTGTTTGTGTCATCTTTGATTTCTTTGAGCAGTGTTTTGTAGTTTTCATTGTAAAGGTCTTTCATGTCTCTGGTTAGGAAGATGCCAAGGTATTTCATTTTTTTTGTGGTTATTGTGAATGGAATTGTGGTTTTTATTTGGGGTTTCTGTTTGTTTATTATTGGTGTAAAGAAATGCAATTGTCTTTTACACATTTATTTTGTATCCTGAGACTTTGCCAAAGGCCTTTATCAGTGTAAGGAGGTTTTTGACAGATTCTCTTGGGTTTTCAAGGTTCACAATCATAATGTCTGCAAAAAGGGATAACTTAATTTCCTCTTTTCCTATTTGGATTGCCCCTGATTGCCTTCACTTCTCTAATTGCTCAAGCCAGGACTTCCAATACTATGTTGAGCAGGAGGGGTGAGATGGGGCATCCTTGTCTTGTTCCACTTTCCAGGGGAAATGGTACCAATTTTTGTCCATTTAGGAGTATGCTGGCTGTGGGTTTCTCGTAGATGGCTTTTACTATTTTGAGGTATGTTCCCCATATGCCTAGATGTTTGAGGGTTTTTATCAAGAAGGGATGCTGGATTATATGAAAAGCTTTTTCTGCATCTAATGATATAATCATGTGGTTTTTGTTTTGACATCTGTTGATGTATTTAATTACATTTATGGTTTTATGAATGTTGAACCACCCTTGCATCCCAGGTATGAAGCCTACTTGGTCATGATGGATGATTTTTAGATGTGTTGTTGAATCTAGTTTGCTAGGATCTTGTTGAGAATTTTAGCATCTATGTTCATCAAAGATATTGGCCTATAGTTCTCTTTCTTTGTTGAATCTTTACCAGGCTTGGGTATCAATGTGATGTTGGCTTTGTAAAATGATTTGGGGAGAATTCCATCTTTTTCAATCACCTGGAATACCTTCAGTAGGATTGGTATCAGCTCCTCCTTTAAATGTCTTGTA